TCGCAACTGTTAATATTTGAAGTTTCGAATCTACAGTTATAAAAATATATATTATCATTTACTGAAACACGCACAAGGGAATTAAAGTAGAAAATTTGTCAGCAACCCAATGTAATAATAAATATGAAGAACACATTATTTTAAATTGTTTAAATGCTAATGACTTCAATGAAATGATAAATATGATTTCTTCGTACTTGTACGAATCATCAAGTTCCGTATCTATAATCGTAGAACACAAATGGCGTACGCATGCGCGTATGCTTCCGGATAGTCGTATTCATGTTGCCACGTATTATTTACTGAATAGTATCTAAAGAGATAAAGAGATAGATACATCTTGTTAGTTGGTATATAAATAGTTAGAAATAATCTGTATAAATGCATATTTATTATTTTATGCATATCATATTGTTTTAAGTACTCATCTGAATGGTAATATATCATTAAGAAGATCGTGATATAATTTTTTTTTGGTTATCTTAGAAGAAATCGCTATCATCTTAAGTCAATACACTTAAGATAATCAATTTGATAAAGGTTTAATAAATAGCTCTTCTGTTCTGCAACCTGTTAGTTTACAACAAACTCTACATTGGGTTAGGAAGTGAAGGTTCGTATAAATTATAAAAGTTGTAGTGTTTGTTTCACCTAACTTTTAAAAAACCTTATATACCATGACTAAAGACCACGAAAAATTAAAAGATGTAAGTGAACATTTTACTGAAGAAAAACTAGAAGAAGTCTTAAAATCTGTCTACAAAGGACAAAAAGCAAATGTTTTAGATTGGTATTTTGACGAAGCAAGTAGTAAAGGTGACAATTATTTATCAACTGTTAATAAGATTAAAATAGTTGCTAATGTTGATGGTAAAGAAGTGGAACTCAAGTTGGTAGTCAAATCTTTACCAAACAATATAGGTAGAAGAAACACATACAGAAGCGTAGATTTTTTTTATAATGAAATTATTTTTTACACAAAGGTAACTATTTTATTACTTCTTTTTAGTTGTATCACAATTTTTTATAATTTGATTGATATCCTTTAAAGATTGCTACAAAATTTGAAGAATTTCTCAATAATAAAGGACAAAATGGACTATTATGTATACCACGTCACTTAGCTTCTGCTCTTGATGGTAAAGCCGATTATATAGCCCTAGAAGATGTTTCTCCTCTAGGGTATAAATCAATATCTAGACAGAGTTGTTTAAATGAAGTTGAATATGCAATGCTTTTGAAAACTATAGCAAGATTTCATGCAATTTCTTTTGCATACAAAGACCAAAAAAAAGAAGAATTTAATGATCTTGTGAAAAACTTGAATGAAACATATATGAGTGATGAGCATTGGGATTGGTACAAAAGGTTTCATGTAAGATAAACAATGCTAATGTATTTTAATCATGTATAATATTATTTATAATGAACAAGATTTAGATTTTAAAATTGAGTTATTTTTTAATTTGCTGTATAGAAAAGGCTAATAAATATTGCAAAAAATGCTCTGGAAATGGAATATCCTAACAGTGAAGCAGAGAAACGTTTTAAGTCATATGAATTTGGTGCTCTATATAAAAAAGCTGCTGAATTTTGCACTCGTAAATATGAACCAACATCTGTAGTGAGCCATGGTGATTGCTGGGCTCCAAACTTTTTGTCTCAAGACAATAACATTTTGATGCTTGATTTTCAATTAACAAGATGTGCCAGTCCAGTCTTAGATATATCAATGTGTTTTTATGGTTGTACAGACAAAAACCTTTGGGATGAACACTTTGATAAGTTATTAACAGTTTATTATGATGAACTTTCCAGTACTATTAAATTGTTGGGATCAGTTCCTGAAAATCTGTATTCGTGGGATACATTTATGAATGAAGTAAAGTATAATTTCATGCCATCTAATATTATTGTAATATTTTTAAGGATAAAAAATTATATAAATGAAACTATTACAGGTAAAGGAACAGTTTATGTTTGGTGCAGTATTTGCACTGGAAATGGTACCATTCAGTCTATTAGATGAATCTGAGTCATTTGATCTGGATATTATAAAAGATGAATCTGGAGTGAATATTGATGATGTATGGACACTATCAAATATGAAAGACAAATCTGGCAGACTCAGACTTGCTAATGTCTTTGTTCATGCAGTTGAAAAAGGATTCCTATAACTTTAAAATATTAAGTGCTCATAATTTAAACATATAATGTATAATGTCAAATTATTTGAAATACTTTTATAATGGATTAATTCTAATTACTCTGCCAATAATTTTATATTGGATATAAAAGTATTCAGACAGTTGCATTTTATAAATAATGTTTATTAAATGTGTAGCATTAAATAAAATAGAGACAATCTGTATTTGTATAATTTCAATTATAACAACATAGTTTAATTAAAATATAATTTGTATAAGAGTTATAGACACCCATTATTTATTCATTTATAAACAACGGTTGTGTCAAGTTTTCTTGTATCACTTACTTATGTTAAGGAATTAGAGACATTTCATAAAAACATCTCATTTTTGTCTGACAAGTACACCTATTGCTGGAAAGCATAATTCGTAAAGATAAGTGCATTGTTTAATGCATACTTTATAATAGAATTTTTCATATGCAAGCAAGCAATTTTATGTGAAAAAATATAAGAAATGTTTGTATGCCCAAATTTTTATGGTGTACAATTTTCATTTTTGTGTAACACCATATTTGTGAAAGAATTTGGTATTTAAACAAAGAATTTATATAGTAATATAATCAACATACATAATGTTGATTATTTTTATAAACTCTGATGTCGAATGTTGTTAGAGAGAATATTACTGGCATCAAAGACAGTAGTATCCTCGTCATCTTCCTCATCCAATGGTAATGGTCTCATTTCAACATCTTGTCTGTTTGCGAGGATACCATACTTTCTGACCATTTGCGCACGTGTTTTATTTAACCTGTTAAATGATTTCCTTTTCTATATTATTGTAAACAATTATAACATTATTTATAATTGAAAAGCTTAAAGTAACTATCATTGTACATTCATTTACTATAAGAAGATGTTAATAAAATAAGGGAAGTTGAAAATTTGAATAAGTTGTAAATACCTAAGATTACGGAACATGATATAGGCCATGATAAGAACACTTAGGCCAATAAACACATAAATACCACGCTTCAAAGCTCCAGTATTTAAAGTAGTCGGATGTCCTATACCTTCATGCTGTTAACAAAATGTATTATTAGTGATTAGTAAAGCAATTGTAAATAACATAATTATGCATAATCTCCAGATTTAGTGAAATACCAAAATTATCAAACAGGATTACAATAGCATAAAAATGTTATTTTGCAAAATTAAACAGTACTAACTACAGATACTAACCTCTTTTCGTGGTTCTGTGGTATTAGTAGTCTTATTATCTACCGACGACTTTAAGGTTATATTATTTAACGTTTTATTATTTTCAGGATTTGTCATCGTGTCGTCAAGTGATACTACATTTTGGTGCTCTTTTTGTTGTCCATTTGACGGAGTGTGCGTGTTAACATTGTTGGAGGTTTCATTAACACTTTTTCCTATTAACCTCTGTTCAGGTGCATTCCTGTTTATCCTAAAATTTCCATCGCATACTGTGCTTTGTGTAGCCAAAAAGATCAACAGAAATACAAAAAATTTCATCATCTGGATCTTCAAGCGCGTCATTGTCCTGTGACATTTGTGAAACAAAATTCTAAGGAAAATAGCGCTGCACTATACGTTGATATTTTATCACAGGTTCCATGTTGACCCGGCTTATGTCACTAGTACATATTTCAAATCGTTTTGACTTCAACAGCTGTTTCGCGGTATGCTCACTGGTACTGAACATACACACGGTCGAAATGATTTTTGCATGTTGGTTAAATATAGATCACAGAACATCAACAATGTGCATTTATATATACATATACATATATATGCGTTTAAATTTATTTCGTGCTCCACTTGAAAGATACGCCTCGGTTTTTCAGCGTCTGTGATTACAATGAATGAGTATATTAAAATATTAAAAATTAATCCAACTTTCGTATTATCAGTTATACATATATATGCATACATAAATTAATGTACACTATATCTATGTTCAATTTTATAACAATTAATTTAATTAGACAGATATTAATGTGGAAATAGAGATTTCTTATTTAAAAAAAAATAACACTTTCATTGCAATGATTGCAATATTTATAAGTAGTAATATGTGATAGCTGGTACATATTGAAATTAGAGCAATAAATATCTTTTATAAACAATATTGCTACTACTGCGAGAACTATTAATTCATCTTGAGTTCATGACAAAGTAACGAAAACCCGTCCGCTTTGGTTGTGCATATCTATATATTGTCATTATACTTTATATTTTCTTATTAAGTAAATGATGTTTTATTATTATGTACGCATAAAATTTGTACATCTTTTGCGCCGTTAAATGTGTATTCCGCTATGGCGTAGATTTGTGTATATTGTCGAAGCATTCCGTGGTATACACAGAAAACCGACATGCGTAGGCATTTAACCAATAGGAGAGAAGAATTTGACGCGTACCATGCGTATAAGCGTATACGAACAACAGTTGGAGTGGTTGGACGTTACGAGTTGGACGCAATACACGGTTGAGACTCTTATTTTGATTCGCGGAGGAGGCTCACCTCGAAGAAAACGGGTGGCAGAGTTTCGAAGGATTTGCGGGGAAAGTTCAGGATATAGGTCACGAGACATTGGTAAAAAACCATGATACGTGTTATAAATGGGGGTGTTGTATATTTGGACGAGATAACAAATTCGGAGAGTGATGCGACAGAGAAGGCAACGTCAAGAAAGTGCGAGGGGCAGCTGTCTTCGACGAAGGCAAACAGCTGTTCGTCCTATAAAGGTGCAAATCGTACGACAGAAATGGCGCAAGAGGACAATAATCCGTGCTGGAATAACCTGCCCAGTGTCATCCTGCAGGAAATATTC